CCCCACTCTCTCTCTCTAAGCTAAATAAGTAAATCTTGGGGGGGGAGGGGAGAAAAAGATAAACCTACAAAATTCTGAAAGGGCCTCTCTTTCACTGCCAAACAACTCTCACTACCAAGGTTTTAACATTTCAGGACCTTCAACTGCTACTCAACTAGGTATTTTTTTTTTTTTCCTAAAACGAAATCCTGCTATTTGCAGCCAATAAACCGGAGTTTTTACTGAGTTACCGTTACACAAGGGGACTTCATACACACACTCACACACTCATTGCAGAAACTGGATAGAAAAGAGGGAAAGCACCAGAATCCCACCATCCACTGGTCTGTATTTTCTGCTAGACTTTTTCATCTGCATGAGCTTTTTTGCTGAGCTGGCTAGAATTGTTAATAATGCGCTGTGACTGTGCACACCGCCCTTCCCCACCTGGCCCACCCTAACATAGCACTTCGTGCATTAGTGACTTCAAGTGTATCAATAAGAAAGGAGAATGGGATCGAGATCTGGAATTTGTTGAACAAATGAATGTAGCAATCCATCCCACATTTTAAAAAATGCGATAACAATTGCCTAATGACATTCTCTTACTTTGTTAGCGCGGTTTGGCAGGACTTTTTAAATTACCGAGCTTCTTTAGATTTGGGGGAAACATTAGAATTTCCTATAATTGTTTTCCTGGTTATAAGAGCAATACATGCTCATTATATAATATTCAGAAAGAGAAAATCTCAGGAAGTAATGATTTAACATTAATATTTGTTGAACACAGACTATGTGCCACTCGCTGTTCTAAACGCTTTAGGTAGATTCACTGATTTAACTGTCACAACACCTCGCGGAAGCAGGAGGAGAGGAAGCAACTTGCCACACTCTACACACCTAGAAGCATAAGCCGGGAATCCGTCACTGTGCTAGGAGGTCGTAGGAGTGAAAAGAATCAATAATTTATTCAATCAGCTCCTTCACTGCTTCAGAGTATAATGTCACAGGCAAGAAACAATTCATAGTAACACCGTACCCTTTAACAGTCACGCAAAAATACCACGCGGCACCGTTTCCGCATCCCTGCGGGGCACCGAGTAAAACGAGGCGTCCTCTGTTACGGGAGCTACCGTTCCGATCCGTCCAACCCCCGCACCTGTGGACATCAGGGATGAAACAACAGGTGCTTAAGACCATTTGCATTAAAGACGGAAGCATCTCTTCCAAATTTCGCGAATGATTCAACAATGTGGCGAGTCCTCGAATCAGCTGAACACCCGCGATCGCAAACGTACGTTCGCAACCAGTCACGACTCCTTTACGAAACGTTCACAAAAAGCTCCCCGTCGGTCCTAAACACTTCTGGTGGCTTATCAGTTGGCACCGAACGTCGGTTCATGAAACAGAACTGGAAACTCTTAGACCACATTTTTTTTTCATGCTTTAATTAAAAATCATACTTGGTTAAAGATAAATATTTCTGCTCCTGGTGTAATTTCCTACCCAGGGCTAATAGACACAACTTTTTAAGATATAAACTCTCTTTAAATTTATTTTTTTTATTTTTTAAAGATTTTATTTATTTAATCATGAGAGACACAGAGAGAGGCAGAGACACAGGCAGAGGGAGAAGCAGGCTCCACGCATGGGGCCTGATGTGGGACTCGATCCCGGGTCTCCAGGATCATGCCCTGGGCCGAAAGCAGGCCCTAAACGGCTGAGCCACCCAGGGATCCCCTCTTTAAATTTAAAATATGATTAATAATTCATATTTCTGGCTGCCTGGCTCTAAAAACTACTATACGACTATAACTTCAGCACTAAAAGCATATCAGATTAATCCATTAATCACAATTATTCATACCACTGTGGTGGACACATGACGCGTATATATACAGGTATCTGGTGCCTCTAGATAGATAGAGAGCTCTACCTACAAAATCAGGCAGCTTCTTTGGAATTTAAAATAGCTCTCCCTAGCATTTCCAGGAGGCTTAAACTGGCGTCTTGTAATTTATCCAACAGCCTGCCGCTGGAGTAAGCTAGAGAAGTAAAATATCTAATCATGTTGACTATTAACTGTGTGTTAGGTGCCGTCGACGTGTTTTGCAAAGATTGTTCCGTATATTCCCATAAAAATCCTTGAACGAGAGACCAGTATCATCCCCGTTTTACAAATCAGGCTTAAAAGCTTAACTAAATATTCCCATCTAGGGGAATGGAGTTTCTGCAACCAAAATTCATACTCCAAACCACTGTTAAAGGGCTTCTCTTCCAAATCAGGCCTCAAAAAAAAAAAAAAAAAAAAAAAAAGAATTCTGGCTTCTACAACTCACCTCCCTAAATTCAGCTTCAACTGACATACAAAACTTAACACACACAAAAAAATCAACACAAATCTGACAATTTATCCAGCAATGATACGCTTCTGTTTGAAATCTTAATTTTTTTTTCTTTTCAGAGAGGTTTTCAACATGGAAAACAAAGTTAATCTGGCATTAGGGAACCATTTCCTCCGGTGTTTTGACTAGGAAGCTCTTTGCTGTCACAACTTGACAAACCACCCATGTCCTTCAACAAGTGAGAGCACAAGCCCAACACCACCCATCTCGGCCTCGGAGGCTAATCTTCCAGACCAGATCGCAGCGGGCTCCGCGGAAAGATTCACGATATCAATCTTTTCGGTCTCTTGTGAAACACAGTTTCACATTTTTATGTATTTGTACACGAATTCCAATGCCGTCGTCCCATACCTAGGGGAGAACCTGGGTCAAATGCAGTAAAAACACGACGACGTTTTTTTTTTTTTTATAAGGCCCAAACACGCAGTTGTTAAGACTGTTGAGCACTTTTTGGACTGAAACCAGGCTTTTATGGTGCTGGTTCACTGTGAGGGGAGCCAAGGGACCGAACATTGGATCCCAAAGTCCTTTTATCACTAAAGTCTATAAAATGTTTGATTACTTTAAAAAGATTATGTGTGTGTGAATCATATGTTTGCTGAAAAACAGGAGGCTTGTTCATACACACAATTCGGCCTTAAAAAAAAAAAAAGAAAAAAACACTGCGAACCCCAAACAGCTCTTTACGGGACTGGGATTGTTTGGGAGACAGAGGCCCCCGCTGCGGTCACTCGGTCACTCGGGTGCCCCGCCCTCCTGTCCTCCAGGTGGGGCCGTGACCTGCGGAGGGGGAGGGGGAGGGGAGGCGGGGGGGGGGGGAGCCGAGGGGGAGGGGGAGGGAGCGGGGGGGGAGCGAGGGGGAGGGGGAGGGGGGGAGCCGAGGGGAGCGAGGGGGAGGGGGAGGGGAGGGGAGGCGGGGGGGGGAGCCGAGGGGGAGGGGGAGGGGAGGGGGGAGCCGAGGGGGAGGGGGAGGGGAGCCGGGCACACCTGCGGGCGGCCCAGAAAACGGCCCAACTGGGCTTGCAGGCCGCGGACCCCAACCCGACCCAGACTCGACCTGACCCGACCCCGGTCGGCACTGGCGCCCCCAGACGCATCGCAGTCGGTCGGTCGGCGCAGGTACAGCGGCCGCGGGGCGGGGCGGGCGGGGCTCGGCGGCGGCGCTCGGGCTTCCAGGGCCGCGTCTGTGCAGCACCGCGCCCGCCCCGGGACCGCGGACCCGGCCGCATCGGCGCCCCTCGGGGTCCCGCCCCTCGGGGTCCCGCACCCCAGGTCCCTCTCCTCGGGGTCCCGCACCCCAGGTCCCTCTCCTCCGAGCCCCGCACCCCAGGTCCCGCCCCTCGGGGTCCCGCGCCCCAGGTCGCGCCCCAGGTCCCTCTCCTCGGGGTCCCGCGCCCCAGGTCGCGCCCCAGGTCCCGCCCCTCGGGGTCCCGCACCCCAGGTCCCTCTCCTCGGGGTCCTGCGCCCCAGGTCGCGCCCCAGGTCCCGCCCCTCGGGGTCCCGCGCCCCAGGTCGCGCCCCAGGTCCCGCCCCTCGGGGTCCCGCGCCCCAGGTTCCTCTCCTCGGGGTCCCGCGCCCCAGGTCCCGCCCCTCGGGGTCCCGCGCCCCAGGTTCCTCTCCTCGGGGTCCCGCGCCCCAGGTCCCGCCCCTCGGGGTCCCGCGCCCCAGGTTCCTCTCCTCGGGGTCCCGCGCCCCAGGTCCCGCCCCTCGGGGTCCCGCACCCCAGGTCCCTCTCCTCGGGGTCCCGCGCCCCAGGTCCCGCCCCTCGGGGTCCCGCGCCCCAGGTCGCGCCCCAGGTCCCTCTCCTCGGGGTCCCGCGCCCCAGGTCCCGCCCCTCCGGGGCCCCGCACCCCAGGTCCCTCTCCTCGGGGTCCCGCGCCCCAGGTCGCGCCCCAGGTCCCGCCGCTTCGGGTCCCGCGCCCCAGGTCGCGCCCCAGGTCGCGCCCCTCCGCGGGGACCCCGAGCTCGCCCCGGGTACGGAGGAGGCCGCGGTCCCGGCGGGCGGGCGCCCTCGACGCCCCAAGGGCCGCGCCGTCGCCACCAGCACGGGCTGCGGTCCCCGCGCCGCCAGGGTCCCTCGGGGCTCCCGGAGCAGGGGCTCGGCCGCCTGGCGCCCCGCCCCCCGCCCCTGCGGGCACCACCCCGAGGCCTCCGGCCGCCCGGCCCCGAGGGACCTGGGGCCTCCCCGCAGACCCGCGCCCCCCCGCCCGGCCCGGGAAGGAGCGGAAGGGAGCGGGGAAGGGGGCGTGGCGCGCGGGCAGCCCCAGGGCAGCGCTGGGAACCCCGGGCCGCCCCCCCCCGCCCCCGCCCCCGCCCCCGCCCCGTCGAGGGCCCGCGCCGTCCGCCCCTCCCCCTCCCCTCCCTCTCCCTCTCCCCCCTCCCCCTCCGCGTCTCGGCGCCCAGGCCCCGACCAGTCCCCGCCCTCCGGGACACGCTCCCTCCCTCCCTCCCTCCCTCCCTCCCTCCCTCCCTCCCTCCTCCTCCCTCCCTCCTCCTCCCTCCCGCTCGCTTCCCAGCGCCCGGAGCCCCGCCGCCCCCGCCCCGCCCCGCCCCCGCCCCGCCTGCGCCCCCGCGCCCCCCGCGCCCCCCGCGCCCCCCGCGCCCGCGCCCACTCGCCTGCCGCTGCGCCGCCGCCGGGGACTCGGGCTCCGCGGGCTCCGGGACGGGCCGACCTGTCCTCCGCCTCCTCCTCCCGCTCCTCCGGGCGCCGGCTCCGCCTCGCTGCCTCGCTCGCTCGCTCGGGGAGGCGGGGCGCACGGCCCGACGGGCGGGGCGGCGGGGCCCGGGCCTCCCTCCCGGACGCCCCGCCCTCCGCCTCTCCCCCGTCCTCCCCCTCCCCCCCCTCCCCTCCCCCTCCCCCCTCCCCCCTCCCCCTCGCCCCCTCGTCCCCCCTCCCCTCCCTCTCCTCCCTCCTCCCTCCGTCCGTCCCCCACTCCCCTCTCCCCTCCCCTCCCTCTCCCTCCCCGTCCCCTTTCCCTCCCCCTCCCTCTCCCTCCCTCCCCCCTCCACCTCTCCCCCTGTCCCCTCCTCCCCTCCCCCCTCCTCCTGTTCCCCCCCCTCCCCTCCCCGGCTCCCCCTGTCCCCTCCTCCCCTCCCCCCTCCTCCTGTCCCCCCCCTCTCTCCCCTCCCCGGCTCCCCCTCCCCCTTGGGCGGAGAGGCGGGAGCAGGGGCGCTGCAGGGACGAGCGGCCCCACCGCCCTAGGTCGCGGGCCTCGCTCCCCCGCCCTCCCCTTTCCCCGTCCCCCCCCCCCCCCCCCGACCCCCGCCCCCCGCCCCGAGGCCCGTGCGGACTCCCCGCTCACCCGCCGGCCTCGCCTCGGCCCTCGCGGGCTGCCAGCGCCCCCAGGAGCTGGGCCGGGCTCCAGGAATGTCTTAAGAAAACAGTCACAGTCCAATTTAAAGGGCCCTGGGGCCACGGGGACGTTTTGTTTCCCAGAAAACGGTGCTGGAACCGCGATTGCGGACCTGGAAGCGCGAGCCCCGCGGCTCCTCCGTTCCTCCGTCCGTCTGTCCCGGACCCTGGGCTCCCGGCCGGCCGCGAACTCTGGGTTCGGAGGGGGATCGGCGCCAGGGGCGGGAGAAGCCACCTGTGTGGACCGAGGCCAGACGGTCGGCACCACCGGCAGGTGCTGCCCCCCGCCCCCCCCCCCCAGCTGGCGCTGAGCGGCTGCAGACGCAGGTGAGCCCGCCGAGGCCTGCAGAGCCCAGAGGGGTGGAAAGAGGCCGGGGCAGAGGGCTTGCCGGCCAGCAGACCTCCGCTGACCCCCGGGATTTGCTTTCTTGTCTGACAGGGTGAGGACAGAGGAGAAGGTGAGGCCCAAGTGGGTCACTTGGAACCTGTGTGGGCACAGTGTGGTGCGTCGGTGAGGGACATCTGCATGTGGACCAGAAGGGAGGCCCAGGGCAGCCGTGGCCCGGGGCTGCAGGAGGGGACAGTGTGTGGCTGGACACCCTGGCCCGGGCTGTGGGCCCAGCAGCCTGACTGCTCCTCAGAACCCTCAGCCGCTGGACTTGCTGCATCTGCGGGGGGGGGGGCAGCACACACCCTGGCCCCAGCCACCGATACTGGCCACCGAGCACACGGAGCTACAGAGTGGGTTCCTGGCCTCCTGGCAACCCCAGGGTGGCCCCTGCCGTCTCCAAAGCTCCTCGTGAGGTCGGGCCAAACTCCGCGCCCTCCCCTGTGGGACTTTGCCTGCTATCGCATTCTTGCCGCGCCTCCCGCTCCCCTTCCAGTGCTCCTTCCTAGGAACACGTTCTAATCAGACCAGCTATGTGATTGGCAGGGCCCCACGCAAGATACAGAAGAGTGTTCGTGGCTTATAGGAACTTCAAGGTGGCAACAGCAGGTGTTAGACCCAGTCCGGGGTCCTGTGTTTCTGCACAGATGTGCTTGACTCTGCGGATGGCCCATCGGCGGAGCTGGTCTGGATGCTAATAAAATCCTTTTCCCCTGAGTCCTCGACGCTAGGTCTGCTTCTGGGGACTCCCCCACTAAGATAACAGCTGTCAAAGTAAAAGATCGGCCCGGCCCCGTCGGGTACTAGCACAGTCATCTTACAGGTACACTAGTCGGCCTCCCAGGGCTTGGGAGGGGGCGGCTCCGGGAAAGGCGGCTGTAACCAGAGCTCCAGCCAGCACAGGAGGGAAAGCAGGTGAGAGTGGCTTAGGTTAGTAGGATGACGGGGCGGGAAGTCTGGGCTTAGCCCCATTCGGAGCCGCGTGTTAATCGAGGTGGGATTTCAGATTGAGTTACCTAGAAACACCTTACCTGAAGTTTAGTTGGCAAGTGGTTAAAAGGTTACACCTCACTTGTAAGGAAGTGGGGTTGGCAGGCCTGGGCAGAGGGAGAAGCTCCTCTCAGTGTGGTCACAGCTGGGCCTGGAGCCCAGAAGGTACTGGAGTGGGTGGCTCTTCAGAACTAAGCAGATGCAGCTCACAACGCCCGCCTGGGGGGCTCAGCGGGGCAACGTCCGCCTTCAGCTCAAGGCGTGACCCTGGGGTCCCGGGATCCAGTGTCCCCCCCCCCCCCCCCCGCAGGGAGCCTGCTTCTCCCTCTGCCTGTCTCTGCCTCCCTCCCTCTCTCTCTCTGTGTATCTCTCAGGAATAAATAAATAATAATCTTTAAAAAAAAAAAACTAACTAGATTGAGTCCCCTTCGTAGTCTTCTCTACACGCTGCACCTGGAGAAAGGTGTAGCCATAGGCAAAGCAGTTCCCTGAGGGCGACGCCCGGGAGGACAGGGCTGGGAACGGTCAGGCACCAGGCACGGATGGGTCAGCGCTGAGCAGAGGATCTAGGAGTCACCGCACGAGGTCTGTCTCGGCAGATGATCCCTGAGATCTCACTCGTTCTTACAGTTGGTCACGACAGGAAAACACAGCCCAGGAGGGCTGGCCCCTGGGTCTTCCGTGTAGCACCTGGACAATATTTTATTGCATTTAACCCTTCTCATACTATAAGGTTATTTAATTATTTTTTTCCTTCAGGCTTTTAATTTTTATTTTTTAAAAAGATTTATTTATTTATTTATTTACTTATTTATTTTACAAAGAGAGAGTGCAGGGGGGGAGAGACAGAGGGAGATGGAGAGAGAAACTCATGCTGGGTGCAGACTGTCCACCTCCGGAGCCTGAGAAATCAAGAGTCGGTGGCTTCACCGACTGACTGAGCCAGCCAGGCGCTCCTCCTTCCACTCTTTTTCCTCCCTTTTCTATGTGTTCTGGCCCAATTATTTCCTAGCCCTGCAATGGCACTGGAGACAAATAAATCCAAATAAATAAAGCAATTGCCCAAGAGTAGCAGTGTAGTGAAGTACACATGATGGGATGGAGCCTCTGGGATCAAGTCCTGAGTTTGCCACTGACAAACTGTGAATTTGGGGCTCTTAACCCTACTGGGCATTTACTTGTCTTTAAAATAGATTATAAGAGGGTGGTCTCTAATGTTCCCATTTTTTAAAAAAGATTTTATTTATTCATGAGAGAGACGGAGGGAGAGGCAGAGACACAGGCAGAGGGAGAAGCAGGGGAGCCCGATGGTGGGACTCGATCACGGGACCCCGGGGTCACGCCACTGAGCCACCCAGGCGTCCCCTAATGTCCCACTTTAAAAAGAGGTGGTTTTCTCATGGGGCACCTGAGTGGCACAGTCCACTGTTAAACAACTCAGTCTTGGTTTCCCTGAGGGTCAAGATCTCAGGGTCCTGGGGTCCAGCGGCCTTGAGCTCCTGCTCAGTGCACAGTCTGCTTGTCCTTCTCCCTCCCCTAGTCCCCCCCACCCCAGATACACACCTGCTGGCACTGGGTGAACTTTCACCCTCAAACAAATAAATAAAACGTTAAAAACAATGATTTTCTCTGCTATAAAATCCCTCATGAATCAAACAAGAGAACTTCTTAAAACTCAGAACTGATTTTTAGAGTTAGTTGCAGTTCACATGTGAGGTGCTACCCAGCAAGAACACCCTAAGTCGCGCAGCCGTCAGAAAGAGTTGGGTGAAACGGGATTCTAACAGATGCGGCCGATGGGGGCGGTGAGGTCCCCGCAGACCTGGGAACGATTCTTCCGGAATATCAGACTTGCTTCCTAAGGATTTTGCCCGTCCTGTTGCGCGCGGCCACACTCTGCCTGAACCTGCCCCGAAAGTCGCGGAGAGCTCCCTCCTTTTGGATAGGCTGCCTGGGTAGGTGCCTCACAAACTGGTTTTTCTGCTCGGTCAGAGGCTGCCGTCTACCCAGGTGGAAGTCAGGCCGGGGAGAGGCACCCACGGTCTTGGAAACTCCCAAGTAACCTGTCGAGACGTGTGCGGCCACGGGCAGGGCTATGACCAACACCGTGGGCAGGGTCCTGGGCGAAGCCGCCCGGTTCCGTCCCACGTGGGTGGAGGGCTGCGGGGCCTGGGCGGGCGTGGCCGAGGCCTGGTGCTGACTCCGGCGCTTGGGGACTCGGGCCGGGCCGTCTGGCTCGTTGCAGAGCAGGCCCCGTGGCCCTGGAGAGTGGAAACTCCAGGCACCGCCGTGTCGCCGTGACCCACGCGGGCTCCCGGGTCAGCGAGGCCCCGTCAGCGGAGGGCGTCAAGCGGGGGCCCACGCGGAGCCCGAGACAGGTTATGGGGGCAGCCCCAAGGTCCGGGGGGGTGCGGAGCTGGAGGGAGACTGGGGGTCTTCTCTCCGTCCTCCGTCCGGCACGGGTCTCTCCAAGACAGAGTGATTGAGAAGGGCCTGGGCTGAGTAGGTGATCCCGGGGGAGGAGGCAGGAGGTCCCAAAGCATCAACCGCAGCTCCGGGGGGATCCCCGGCCCGCAGAGCTGTGGAGGAAAGGACGGCGTCGGCTCCCCGGGAAAGGCCAGTCCCGTCCCTTCGCCCCTGCCTGCGGCGCCCCCGAAGCCTCCCGTCTCCACAGTCCGTGTGGCCTGGGCTCACGTGGGGAGTCTGGCAGTTTCCTCCTTGGCTGGCGGTGCTGCCCAGCGCCCGGCTCTCACTCACAGAAACCCCGGGGCCCGGAGTAAGTACCAAGGCTGGAGCACCCAGGCCCTGGCTCCGGCCTCGCCCTCGCCCTCGGCCCGGCCGGGAGGGCTGGATGTTGGCCGCGGCGTGGAATGTACCGAGATGCCACGTAATTAAATGGCTCAACAGAAGCATTCTCTCTGCCAGCCACTCACCCCAGACCCTCCCTGGAGAAAACAGAAGGCCGCCGCGGAGGCCGAAGGGGGAGCGGCCTGGTGGGCCCTGATTAGATTGTCCCCGTCTGTAGCCTGGGCCCCGGTCTGCCCTGTGAGCTCCATTGTG